GGCCATGACAGGGATCAGGACATGCTACTCCAAAATAAGGCACCCTGGCATAATGAGTATTTCAAGTTGAAGGAATGTGAGAAACAGCAGGTGCAGGAAGGACTTTCTGACATTCCTCTGAAGTGGGTCATAAGACTCTCAAATGAGAGGTCCCCTCCATATACTTGGAGGAAAGGAACATCCCTACTTTCATGAAAGAGGGACACCCAAGAGGAATCTGAATGAACAAGCCTTGCTAAGTCTCCCCTAGTTTACCACACTGAGCTTATACTCATACCCCTTTTGTCCGCTCACATTTTCCCACAACTTTCCACTCTTTATCAAACCTAGCCTAAAAACGCTCAAGGTAACCCCTTCTTCAGGTCTTCATTTTCCTATAAAGGAAATGTCATGCAGAACTTATATTAAATAAATTTGTATGCTTTTCTCTCGCTAATATGTCTTCTGTTATAGAAACCCAGCTGAAAACGAAAAAAAGGTATGAGGCCTCTTTTTCCTCTGCTACAGCTGTACTCAGGGGCTACCCAGGGCCTGGGGTGGGGGTAGAGGGACACCACCGGCATGGAGTCTGGGAAGATAGAACAGAAGTCAGCCCTCCCACAGGGGCTCACTGTGGGCTGAGCTGGTGTTCTCTCCCACACCCTCAGCAGGCTAGAATAAAATGGAAAGAAAGCAACCTAGCATTTGGGATGGGGAAGATGACTGGTCCCACAAAGGTAGGGAGAGTGACAAAGAGAATCCACTTACACTGTACCCAAGCAAATAAAAGATAAGGTCAATGCAGGTTCCGACGTTAAGCGTGGATTTGACAACAAGAAATGGCACGGAGACTATGCAAACATACACAACAAATGGAAGGAGAGAAAGAAGGGAGAAAATATGGGCTTCCCTGGTGGCGCAGTGGTTGAGAGTCCGCCTGCCGATGCAGGGGACACGGGTTCATGCGCCCTGGTCCGGGAAGATCCCACATGCTGCAGAGCGGCTGGGCCCGTGAGCCATGGCCGCTGAGCCTGCGCGTCCAGAGCCTGTGCTCCGCAACGGGAGAGGCCACAACAGTGAGAGGCCTGCGTACCGGAAAAAAAAAAAAAAAAAAGAAGGGAGAAAATATAATCCAAGAAGGGCTTCTCCATGGTTGTCTCAGCTACAGATGCTTCAACAAAAATAAGAATCCAAGAAAACAAGAGCTCTAAGACAAGATAACAAATCAACAGAATAAGGTGAAAAGATTGCAGAGCTGAGAAAACAGACTGAGAGCCAAATGACACCAAGACAGCTCTAATAAATAAATTAGAGCAGTAAAGAACAGAATAGACAGGCCTCAAAACTGAATAAGGCACAGAGTAAAGGTCTGAGATTATTTCAGTGGATGCAGGAAAAAATAGAAAAACATCATCTAACTTACTCAGGAGAAATGTGACAGATATGGAAGGCAAAGGCAATGAAATAAAGAATAACTAGTTTCCTGAAACAGAAAATCCAGTAAGTGTAACAGAGAAAATATTCAGAAATACAAATAAAAAAATTTCCCTGAACTGAAGGAAGGAGTAAATCTGGCCTCAGTATTCTCCAAAGCCATGTTCAAAACCAGAAGGCAATGGAGCAGAATTGTCTAAAAAGATCTGAGAGAATTAGTCTGGCCCAAGAACAGTAAATAAGTCATGATCCTTTTTTTTTTTTTTTTTTTTTTTTGCGGTACGTGGCCTCTCACTGTTGTGGCCTCTCCCGCCGCGGAGCACAGGCTCCGGACGCACAGGCTCAGCGGCCATGGCTCACGGGCCCAGCCGCTCCGCGGCATGTGGGATCTTCCCGGACCAGGGCACGAACCCGTGTCCCCTGCATCCGCAGGCGGACTCTCAACCACTGCGCCACCAGGGAAGCCCCATGATCTTTTTCAACTATAAGCGTAACTGGCAGAAATTCTCAAACATGATTGAGTTTGAAAATATAACACCTTCCAGCCCTTGCAATAAAAACCACTCAACAATAAATTCTGCCTTTTACCACTCGTGAATAGAAAAGCCTAGTGGTGAGCACTGAACCCTCTGAAATGTAGAACCCACACTGTAACTGAGGGACTCACAGGTGCAGAATGGAAAATGCTGTAAACTCTGATAAGGAAAAATAAAACTAACAACAAAAAAGTGGGAGCAAGGGAGGGAGGACAGGTGTGAGATAACAGAAAAAAAGATGTATCTATATATACAGAGCCTCTAAAACCTTTGTAAATTCCTAAGTGGTAAGAACACCAGGAGCATCTCTTGTTCTAATATTTGGTCTTTGACCCTATCCCTGACACAGGGCTCCTGAAACCCTTATAAATTCCTAAGTGATTAGAGCACTAGGACCATCTTTTGTTCTAATGAGGTGACTCTGGGTGGATCCTGGATGGGGGCTGGTCACCAGAAAGACCAAGTCATGATTAGAAGCTTGGAATTTTCAGTGCCTGCCCCACCCCCTTCTCCAGAGAGGGAAGGAGGGGAGAAAGGCTAGAAATGGAGCTAATAATTGATCATGCCTACATGAGGAAGCCTCCATAAAATCCCAATAGTACAGGGTTTATAGAGTTTCAAAGCAGACGAACACATCCACCCTGGGAGGGTGATGTACCCCAACTCCATGGGGACAGAATTTCCCATTCTCAGCACCTTCCCAGACCTCACCTGAAGCACCTCTGTTCATCTGTATCCCTTACAATATCCTTGAATAAACTGGGAAATGTAAGTAAGCACTTAGGTTTCCCTGAGTTCTCTGACCTGCTCTAGCAAATTAATCAAACACAGCTGGTGTCACAGGGAACTGCTTGTTGTGGGGAAAAAAATTCCATACATTTGGTGACCAGAAGTGTCAGTGAAGTGTTCTGTGCGACCATATAAAAGTAAAGGAAAAACCCAGGAGGGAAGAACTGAGTTCTTCCCAACATAGGAAGCAAGTAAAACTAAGTTTTCCCTAAACAATACGAATGGGTAGAAATTTAAGTACTAACTGTCTCATCTTTCACAGTAGGAAGTCAATTTTTCTGTTAAGTATATACAAAATTAAATACTTTTTGTTTTAAAAACAATAGCATGCATGACATAGCCTATTCTCTTGAAATTATTTCCATCTAGCTAGTTATCCATCCTTTTAACTAGGTATCTGAAATGAAAGATGTCTAGAATAATGGCCGCCAAAAGTTAATGTTCATCATTTCTGAGAGGTGGGACATTGGGGGAGTAGCTAATGGTGGTTAGGAATCTTTAGGAGCTAAAATTATGAGTGATTTTTTTCTCCTTTTCTTTTCTTTTTTGGCCACGCCACGTGGCTTGCGGGATCTTAGCTCCCCAACCAGAGAGTCCTAACCACTGGACCACAAGGAAATTCCCTCTTATGAGTGATTTTTCCATTCTTTTTTCTACTTTCCTCTATATTCTATATTTTGAAATGCGTCCATATATATTGAAAAACTAGAATGCCTCTTCATCATAAAGGATAAAGGACAACTGAGAATGACAAGGAAGAAAAAGACTGAGAAAAAACTGCCACAGAGAGAACCAAGCTTATTTAAAGGCAAAAGAGCAGGAATAGGAATTAGCCAGAGAGAAAATGCAGACTGGGAAGCAAGGGCGCTTGAAAATTATAAATGTTGGCATCTACCAATTTCACTAATAAATCCCAACTCAACAATGATAACTCCCAAATTCATACCTCCATCCCCAACCTTTCCATGAACTCCACACTCATATCCCATTAATCAACATTTCCACCAGAAGATCTGACAAGCATTTCAAACATAGTGTGCCCAGAACCAAAACCAAATTTTTGATGTTCCCCCTCCAAACATGCTCCTCTCTCCACCTTCACGTTTCACTAAACTCCAGTTAAAACCCTTGAAGTCATCCTTGACCATCTCTTTCTCACACGCCTGTCCTTCCCAGCTTCCAACCTCAGCACTGGCTCCATTTCTATCAAAACATAACCTGAATCCAGTCACTTCTCACCACCGTCTATACTATTAGGCTAGTCCAACCACATATATCTAGACTGGATGACTACAGCAGCTTTCTAACTGGTTCCCAGCTCTCACTCTTGCCCCACATCATCTATTCTCCAAACAGCAGTCAGAGTGACCTTTTTTTTTTTTTTTGGCTGTGCCACACAGCATGTGGGATCTTAGTTCCCTGACGACCAGCGATCGAACCCGTGCCCCCTGCAGTGGAAGCACAGACCCCTAACCACTGGACTGCCAGGGAATTCCCAGAGTGATCTTTTTAAAGAATAAGTCAGATCATGTCACTCCTTTGCTCAAAACCTTCTAATGGCTCCCATCTTATTCAGAATAAAACCCAAAGTCTCTACTATGCCCTACAAGGTCCTACATGATCTCCTATCTAGGCTCCTGACTCACAGCCTCTGGGTCTACTCTTCCCTCCATGGGAATGTTCTTCTCTCAGTCACAAGGTTCATTCCTTCACTTCCTTCAGATCTCTGTTCCAACCACATCTTTCAGACAGGACTTCCCTGACCTTTCTACTAAAATCCCATCCCCACATCCTTTTCCTGCTTTACTGAGAGCAGGAAGTTTTTTGTTTTTTTTCTCTAGGCACAGCCATATCCCAGAGCTCAGAAAAATATATGACACAAGGCAGGTGCTCAGTATTTGTTAAATGAATGAATCAATCTAAGAAACCACTATTCTCTTTTCCTCAAAACACTGAAAATGTCCTTCTTTCCTCCTGATTATCCAGACTACTCTATGCATTACTATAATTCAGGCAAACATTATTTGCTCTTAGTAAGCAATACACGGAAGTTATGAGAAACTCTATAAAGTCCGGGAGTCAAGATTGGTTTCTGGTCAATTCCACTTGTGTGTGTTTGGGGAAGGGGGTGTGCTAGCAAGGGCAGAAGTAGTCACCAGAATCAACTAACCCAGTCCCTGGTATGTGGAAGAGAGTCCTGGCTACCTTCTACTCAGTTATAACAGCATGAGGCTTCAGAAACTAACGTTGACTTAACTGTACCTGTCCCTGTTGGGTCACCTCCCTGGATCATGAAGTCTTTGATGATTCTGTGGAATTTGGTGCCATTGTAGTAACCTCGACGAGCCAATTCAGCAAAGTTCTTACAAGTCTTTGGAGCGTGCTTCCAGTACAGCTCCAGCACGATGATCCCCATGCTGCAGGGGGAGAGGACAGTAGAGCTCCAGTCAAGAACAAGGTCACAGCAGACAGAAACGTTATGGGACTGCTCCATGACTCTTCCTTTTCAAGCTTATAAATCATGAAATTATGATAAATATCAGATTTCATGCTCAGCAAAGGAAAACAACACAATGCAAATAACATAAACACAGATACCTCCTTTGAGTAAAACATGCAGGGGCTTCTGGTACTTCTTTTAAGCAAAATAACCATGGACAACTAAAAATTCTAACACCTTGTATACAAGAAATCACTGATCATTGGAAACCAATATAACCAACCCCTGAATTAGGGGAAAAAAACTTACACTTAATTTGTAATTTTTTTTAAGTTGGACATTAAAAAATTGGGAATTCAAATTTATTTATACATATATAAGTTTCTGGGTGGGGGTGGAAAGTGGGTAAATGGGAGACAGGAAGGTTTTCAGTGAATATCTTTTTTAAGCTTTTGTAGTTTAGAGCTATGTAAATTACTACCTATTCATTAAAAAAATTAATGGGAAAAAAAAAGGTACAGTTTGTGTGTATTTAGGAAGGGTACAACAAAGGCAAAATCTGATTACTTCAAAGCTTTATACCTGCCCAATGTGATAAGTGCTTTTCCCCTAGAAGTAGTGCTAAGGAAAAGGAAGAAGTAAGACTTAGGACAGGTGCCTTCCCCTCCATGTCATCACTCACCTAGACTTTAAGCTCCAAGAATGTGTGAACTGAGTCAACTCTGTATAGCCTGAATACCCAGTGCCAAGCACAGTGTAAGCACTCTATTAATAAATGTACTATGTGCTAGAACATAGCTTTCTAAAAGCCTTTCTACTGGCAATTCATCCTTCACACTCCTAACATTCAACACGGATTAACAACTACTCTGTGGAAGATACAGTTCTAAGTGCTTTTCCTCTCACGGAGCAACATTCTGGTGGATATTTGTAAAATACAGGGAATAACTTTTTGGAATGGCAATCAGAAAATACCTATACAAGTTTGAAATGTGCATACCTTTTGACAGCAATTTCAACTTCTAAGTTTCTATTCTATGGAGAAACTTACAAAAATGCTTAAGAATACAATATGTGCAAGGATGTTTATGCCAGTATTTGTCCTAACAAAAAAAAATATGAGAAGCAATTTAAGTCTTCAAAGAGGGAATGACTAAATTATGAAATATCCATACTACCGAAGGCTGCATGTACTAGTGTGCGAAAGAAAAGCAAATTACAGAAAAAATATATATATATAATATGTTCAATCTTATTATTGTTTAAAAATAGAACATAAAAGAGATGCCTATGTGTACAGAGAAAAAGATCTGGATGGTCATCCAACAAACTATTAATGGTATTTTTACAGAGAGGAGTTGCTTTCACTTCTTATTCTATACACTTCTACAACTGCTTGGATTTAAATTTTGATTTATGTTGTAATTAAAAAAACTAACAGGTGAATTCAGAAATAACATACTTTCAACTTGAGGCCAGAAAAAGTAGAATTTTCTCATTAAGAAGGTGGGGAAAATGGCCAAGGGGCAAGAGCAGCATCTGAGAGAACTGTGCTCTGATGGAAAAGCAGCATGAGCAAGAATAGAAAGATGGAAAGACGATGGCTGGACCTTGGCTGCTGATGTGAGAACAGCAGATGTAGGGAGAGAGGTAGGCAAAGGCCAGGATGAAGGTCATACTACAGAATTTCAATTTTATACTGTTGTAGTAGTAAGAAGTTACTTAAAGTTATTTGTTCTACTTTGGAAAGATCACTTTTAACTTTTTCCAAGGAGGCAATGGAATGAATGGGGCTAAAGAACCTAGCACGTGAGGCAGACAGACCAGGCTCCAAATGAGGTTCCCCTACTTACTAGCTACGTGGGTTTAATCAAGCCACTTACTCTGCAAATTTTGACACTTCTCCTGCTAAAACTGGAGAGAAGCTGGAATTGTACCTACATGATCTGAGTTGCTAAGAGGATTAAACTAAATGTGATGCTACACATCAGGGGCACGGCACTAGCTGTTTGTGCTCAATGTTATCATTCTTTGATAGGAGAGAATAAACGTGCTTCTTCCTGTGTTCTCCTAAAAATCTGTTTATACAACTGTGCTACTTACAACCTTAATATTTACAAATCTGTCTCCTTCACTATACTGTAAGCTTCTAAAGGCAAGGCTGTGTTTTATCCACCTCTGACCCTCAGATCCTACGTCCCCGGCCTGTAGATTCAATACACGTTAGTTGAATGAAAGGATGAATGAACGGAGGGGTGAGAGGAAGGCAATCGGGCCTCTGTCGCTAAAGTCTCAGCGCGAGTCGGTGCGGAGCTCGGACGCGGGCAGCGGCGGTCCCCACTCAGCCCTCAGGCCGCCCCCACGACCGCGGCTCCACGAGGAGGTCGGCCTCCCGAAGGAGCGCGCCGGAAACCCAGCCCCGCGGCTAAGCCTGGGCTCCGCGTCGCCTCCGCCAGCCCAGGCCCAGAGGCCAGACCCTCACCTGGTCTCCAAGTATACGTTGGGCGGCTGCCAGGAATCTGGAGGGATCGCCGCCATAGCTAAGCTGGGGGAAACCTCCCGTAGCAATTGTTACTTCCGGCGATTCGCCTGGGACCCGATTCGCCGGGTACCCGCCGCCGCTGCACACACTTCCGGTTCCCGCCATTCACCTCGAGCGATGCCAAAATTTGGGTGCTTGAGACGAGGAAGGGGAGGGACCCCCCACCTCCAAGGACGAGAATCTGGGGTGCAAGGCGAATGCAAGCTGTCCGCAAGGACGGAGAAAAGTGCAAGTTCTATAAAAGGTGGACTCCTAGTGGAGAGAGGCCGCGCCACTCTCCGGACGCTCTGATTGGTTCTTTTAGGCGTGGAAGGCGTGACCAACCAGCAAATCTGCACTTCTATTGGCGTTAAATCCTAACCTTTCATTTGGAAGAATTCACTAAGTCCCACAGTCTAAGGAGAGGAAGAGTGGAAGGGAATAAAGATGAGAGACGCCAGTAACTAACGCTTGTAAGGCGCTGTATATTTACAGAGCACTTGAACATTATAATCTACTGCGCAAAACAATCATATAAAGTAGATGTTGTTATTCCCATTTTTCAGATGTGAAAACTGAGACTCAGCAATTAAATGACTTATTTGTCCATAGCTATACCGCAAATCAGAGCTTCTAGACTCCAAAAGCAGAGTCTGGAGAGAGGGGAGAGGGACGGACAGGGAAGAAAATGAGAGATAAGGAAAGGGAGAGACAGGAGAATGAAGATCAAATAGATTAGGGCTAGAGCAAGGCTTAGAGTGACTGTGGCTGGGATAGATGATGCCCCAAGGTTGTTAGAGTTTGCTCAGGATCAAAGAGAAGCAAAGTAGAGGCAATGAGACGAGGTTTGGAGGGAGGACAAAAAGGAAATGGGGTAAATAAACATATAGTAAATGCTTTGCACACCACTTAATGATGATGGCTAAATGAATGCTTACTTTGTGCCTGGCATCCAGCTAAGGACTATTGTGTACTTTCACATTGTTAAAAATCAAACACAAATGGAGCCCAGTCTTGGAAATTCCCTGAGCAGACAAATCAGATTAGTCATACAAGTAAAACTTAATTTAGCTTATTCTGTAAAACAAGCAAAACTTAACTTGGGCCCCTTCTTGTTAATGCCTCTGAAAATCATAAACGAAACCTAAACTTCCCCAAAATTAATGTGAGGTAACCACTTTTAACCCATTCCCTATCACTAGGAAAACTCTTAATAGTATAACCAACCACTGTGAAGAATAAACAACCACTGCCTCCTCACTGTATAAGCTGCTTTATAAAAATATACCTTTGAGCCTCTTTCCATGTTCTGAGTGCCCCAGTTTGCAAACTGTTGTGTGTATGTGTGTGTGTGTGTGATTGTGTGTGTGTGCAATAAACTTTTACTAACTACTATTCCAGTGATCCAGTGTTTTACTTCTGCTATTTCTGAAATTTTAAAAAAACTGAGGTATAGGGACTTCCCTGCTGGCGCAGTGGTTAAGAATCCGCCTGCCAATGCAGGGGACACGGGTTGGATACCTCGTCTGTGAAGATCCCACATGCCACACAGCAACTAAGCCCACGTGCCACAACTACTGAAACCCCTGAGCCTAGAGCCCGTGCTCCACAACAAGAGAAGCCACAGCAATGAGAAGCCTGCGCACCGCAATGAAGAGTAGCCCCCTCTTGCCGCAACTAGAGAAAGCCCGTATGCAGCAATGAAGACCCAACGCAGCCAAAGATTAAAGCAAATTTTTTTTTAAACTGAGGTACAGGGGTTTCCTGGTGGCGCAGTGGTTGAGAATCTGCCTGCCAACGCAGGGGACACGGGTTCGAGCCCTGGTCTGGGATGATCCCACATGCCGCAGAGCAACTAGGCCCGTGAGCCACAACTACTGAGCCTGCGCGTCTGCAGCCTGTGCTCCACAACAAGAGAGGCCGCGACAGTGAGAGGCCCGCCCGCCGCAACTAGAGAAAGCCCTCGCACAGAAACGAAGACCGAACACAGACATAAATAAATAAATAAATAAATAAAAATTAAAAAACAAAAACCGAGGTATAGTCGATTTACAATATTTTGTAAGTTTCAGGTGTATAACCTAGTGATTCACAATATTTAAAAGTTTTACTCCACTTATAGTTATTATAAAATATTGCTCTATTCCCTGTGCTATGCAATATATCCTTGTAGCTTATTTCTGAACTTTTGACAACACTTAATCTTCAAACCCACAGGAGGTAGATATGACTATTCCCTTTTTAATTTGAGGAAACTGAGGCTTACAGAGATTAAATAATTTGCTCAAAGTACCACAGCTGTGAGCCTGTGCTCTTGACCACAGTTCAATCCTAGTTTCCTTAATTGCCAAGCAGGAATAAGGGTATACAAGGTTGTAAAGGTCAAAGTAGACAGTGAGCTCCTTGAAAGTATAACTGTGCCTCCTTCATCTTTGTGCCCTCCTTGAAGAGGACTGAACATAGGATGCTCAGGTTTCATTGAATGACTAATGGACAGAAAATAGCTGTTTAGACTGATGAGTGTTGTGCTAATGTAAGGTATAATTAATTTTAGACTTCCTGCAGTTTTGTGTTATGACCCTTGAGCTGGATGGAAAAGTTTTCATCATTGGTCCTTTCTGTCTGTTATCTGAGTTTCCTTTCTTTGGACTTTATGTAGTTCCTTACTGTATATCTTGGGAGGCTTAGGGTACAATGAGGATGTATTGGGGTTTAACACAAGAATAAGACAGCGTCTTGCTGGCTCATTCCAAATCCTTCCTCAAGAGGCTCAGTATTTGTTGGCCTTTTTGTCCCCAAGAGAACATTAGGTGTCAGTGACTTCAGGACAGAGTTGACAAAGAGGCGTGGATTCCTTTTCTAAATTCACTATTAAATTGTAGCTTGTATAATACTTCATTTATTCTGTATCTAAGCTTAATGTGTCTTCTGAATAAATGTCCCTTACTAAAAACAAAATTATAAACTTTTACAGAAACATCATTTTTTGAGCTGGAAACCTGAAGATCATCCTCTTTCTCTCTGCTCCCTATGAGTGACACATCAAGACGTGTCAGTTCTTTTTTCCAAAGATCCCCAAATTGTATCCCTTCCTTCCCATTCCCACCGCTGTTTCAGACCTTTAACACCAGGATTATTTCAGAAGCCCCTTTGCTGGGTTCCCTGCCTTTTGGCTTCCCCCCACTAATACATCTTACACACAGCAGCCAAAGCCCTCCTCCCGAAATACTACAAGATATTGCCATGAAGTATTAAATGGCTTCCCTTTGCCCATTAAAGTCCCAAATCACTTGGTCTGGGCTTGAAGGCCCTTCATCATTGACCACTCACTGACTTCTCCAGACTGACTTCCTATTATTTTATTATCCAAGCCTTAAATGTGGCACCAGCATTCCCACTTCCAGACCTCTGCCCAAGCTAGTCCTTTTCCTTGCAATGCTTTCCCAAACTTCGCCCATGTCCTTGTTCCAACTCCCTCAGAAAACCTCTCTACTCTTCCTGTCTACAGCAGACTCTCTCCCCTTCTCTCTTCTTGGTCTTTAATTCAGTGCCGCCTTCCATCGTTGTCTAACTGCTTGTGTCAGATTTTCTTCTCACCGAGAAGATTGTTAACAGCCCATGTTAGGGACCATGTCCTAATTCAGTTCAGTTCAACATTCACACGGCCTGTTCCACACCAGAACCTGAACAGAGGGAGCTTCCAGTGTAATCTCGAGCAATTTAACCTTTCCATAAACTTCAGTTTGTTTGGTATGAGGGTAAATGGAGGTTGATGAAGCAGTTTCGCGAATGTAAAGTCCTTTGTAATGTCTGGCAAAGAGTAAACTCTCAATTAACATTAATGAGTGGGCAGTGTGTAAATCTGAGTGATTTGTTTGCCTGCCTTTCTTTTAGATCCCAAGGGTAAGGGCCTGCCCACCATTTACATTATCCCTCCCACTCCCACCCCTTAATGCCTAACACGCTGCCTGGCACGTAGTAGGCTCAGCAAACGCTCATTGAATGAATCAGTTCAGCTATGAAGTCCGTGGTAGCCCACGAAGAGAAGAAACCCTGGCAAGAACTGAAGAGGACCGAGGAGCAAGAAACAACGCCAGGGGGAGCAGGAACCCGTTCTCTCCAGATCTCGCGAGAGTTCCCGAGCGCTCCGAGTCTTTGTGCTTTCGGCTTCTGGCGGAAGCGTGGGGCGGGTAGAAAGAGCGCTGCCTCGCCTTTGGCGTAGGAGTTGCTTCCGGGTTCCGCGCCCGGAAGCAGGAAGTTGTCGGCCTATACTCCACGCCCGGCAGTTTAGTGTCCCCGAGGCGGGAGGAGCCCGAGGGGGCGCGGGCCCCGCATGTGAGTGACTGGGGCCCGAGGCCGGGAGGGGGGAGGCAGCTTCGTGACAGCCTCGTCACCGCACCCGTCTATGACATCCTCGCGCAGCCCACCTTTCGGGGCCACTGCCACTCCTGCCCCTGCGCTGACCCCTTTTCTGAGCCTTTGGCGTTTTGCAGACTGACGGCATCCTCCTGCAACTCCCCCGGGGTCGATTCCCTTGTGACTTTTCCTCTTTTTTTCCTTGGCTCTGCCGGGGTGAGCAAAGCGAGTTCGACCCTAATTGAACTTGTTTCGCGGGCGTCATAAGCAGTGTCCAACACAGCGGTGCTAGCAAAGTCTAGATTTCACTGCCCTTTTGACAGATTTCTAATTTTTTTTCTTTTTGGTAGGTTGAGAGTAGATTCCCCGACCCCCCTCCGAAACATCTTTTTCTAATAATTGTTAGGGAGAGAATGCTTTTTTAAAGTGTGATCTTGGTATATGATAAACATGGCATCTCGGATTTCAGAAAGGAATATGACTTGGTTTATTAACCCAAGTAAATGAGCTGTTTGTAGTCTCCTTTTAGAACAAGGAAGTTTGCCTGCCTCGTGTTCCGCGTAGTATTTTAAGACCATTAACCCTTCAAGCCACACTTTTTCTGGTCTAAGAGCCTGCATAGCCTTGGTATTCACCAGTATACTTCTTTTAAAGTATTTGGTCGTCTCCTTATAATAGAGACTATTCCCAGATACTTATTATTCTGGCTTTTTCTGTTTGCTCATTTAGTTGTTCCCATGGTGAAATGTTCTTTGGGCATCTCTCCCTTAATAAGTTTGCTTGTTTGAGTTTGAGTTATCACAGTTTCCCTCTAAGGAACAACATGCCTTAACCAAATTTAGCTTTGCTACATTGAAGTTTTACACGCATGCTCAGCGGCCATGGCTCACGGGCCCAGCCGCTCCGCGGCATATGGGATCCTCCCGGACCGGGGCACAAACCCGCGTCCCCTGCATCGGCAGGCGAACTCTCAACCACTGCGCCACCAGGGAAGCCCTACATTGAAGTTTTGACTGAAGTTCACATCGCCCAGCTTGAATACTATAGGCCCTGTTTACCCTTTCTGCTTTGGACCAAAACAATTTTCAAGACCCAGTGTGAATCCCTATTCTTCCACAGCTGCTCTCAAACTCCACAAAAAATATCCAAGTGTAAAGTTCCTAACTTGCTCACCTAACCTCTCATTAGGCTGATGTATTTTTAAAAAATAAGAAGAAAAAGTAAAATAAATGAACCATTACTTACATCAAATTAGTTTGAGAACAGAATGATCACTTTAGGTCCTTTCTATAAATTTGTTCAACAGACACTGATAAGGTTCCATGTCTCTGAGGTGAATTTCCATGTCTGTTGTGTTGTTATTTTCTCCACTTATCTCTGCTTTCAAGAAACAATTTAGTGTGAGAGGAAGACAAGGAAGTAGATGTAATACAAAATGATAGAGTTGTGTTTCAGGTTCATAGGGCAAAAATGAAGGTTGGGATAGCGTTCAGTCATTGGGCAAAGCACTGGGGGCTAGGTTTTGTAAGCAAAGGAAATTATGTGTACAAAAGCAAAAAGATGTGAAATAGTATGGCAATGAAAACTGTGAGGGAGGAATGGGAAATGAGACTGAACAGGTAGGCAGTAACCAGATCATAAAGGGCCATGCTAAGTAATTTGGACTTCATCTTATAATAATTATTAAGTATTTAATTTGGGTATTGAGACAGATGTTTTCGATACATCACCTTATAATCCCTTAACAACATGGTTGGAAAGACACAATTATCCTCATTTTATAAATGAAAACTCTGAGGCTTAAAGAGGGTAAACAGTGACTCATGGCCACACAGTAGATGGAGAATCCAGTATTTGCATTCAGCTTTTTCTAACTCTGGTGCCTGTGTTCTTAACCACCATGCTAAATTGTTCCCTAGCAGGGCATGGGAAGTCAAGGAGGGTGCTTTAAATAGATGAGCAATGTGCACCAATTTGTGTTTTAGAAAAATAACTTGTAGAGGATGGATCAGAAAGGAGAAAGAGGATTGGAAATATAGAGATTAAATATATCTTTGTGATCGTGTGTGGGAGAGATGTTGAGGGCCTTGACTGCTGCTCACGTAGAGCTGAAGAGGAGGTGATGAATGTGAGACCTATACAGGATGTAGAATTGAGGATTTGGTGATTGGTTCATTAGTGGGGATGAAGAAGCAGGAGGAGAGGTTTTAAATTTGGAGAACTGGTGTTTCCATTAATTAAGAAAAGGAATATAGTAGGAGAAATGGTTTGCAGGGGAAAAATAAGTCAGGAACACATTACATATAGGGGACTATAGGAAATTTGGGCCAGGATGTCTGGTAGGTAGTTAGATAGATGGGTCTTGAGTTTTGGAGAGAGTTCTAGACTGGAGAAGAGATTTGGAAATCACTAATAGCTGGTCGTTAAAGCCATGGAGGGAATGAGACGGTCAAGGACAACCATGATGAATACCAACATTCCGGGACATAGACTCAGAAGAGAACAAGAGAATTATGCCAGGGTTTGAGAGCCCTTGAGGGAGATAATGGGTAGCAATGGCAGCTGCTGCAGAGAGGTCAGATAAGGTGTTAACTGAAAAAACGTCCTTTGGACTTGGCATGTGTAGAAAACCTTTGGTGACCTTAGTGAGAGCAGTATCAGTGGCATGAGGGGGTCAGAAACGAATGGTGACCTGAGAAACAAGAAGGTGAAGTGATACTTTTTTTTTTTTTTAAGGGAGCTTGGCTCTGAAGGGAGGAAGAGTATGAGCTCTGGAAATCTGAAGAGGAAGGATTTTTTTTTTTAATGGTAGAAACTAGAAGTGGTGAAGATAGGAATAAGTAGAAATATGTTTAAAGATGTGGGGATTCCTGCTTCAAATATGTCAATGTCATAAAAGGCCAGAAACACACACACACACACACACACACACACACACCAGCATCTATTGTAGATTTAAGTAGACCAAAGAGACATGACAGCTCACTGTGATAATGTGATCATTGGTTGGATCCTAGACTTCTAAAAAGTTATATGGCTTGCCTTTCTTTGTTTCTTTCTTTCTTTTGGACCTTTGGGGGAAATTTGACTGTGGACTAGATATTAGGTGATGTTAGAGAATTATTCATTTTAATAGCTATGATTCTGGAGCAGAATCACCCCAGTTGAGATTCCACTGTTCCACAGCAATGTCTCCTAATTGTGGGGTGTGTCTGTAATCAGCAGGGAAGAGGTTTGAAATCTGCACCTGGGTCCCATTCCCAAGGTTCTGACAATTCAGTATATCCAAGGTGGTGCATGATACCTTGATTTTTGCAACTCTGCAAGTGATTCTGCCTGTGCCCTTGCAGGTATAAGCCACTGTTAAGAGTCAAGCTCGCTCATTGGAACTTCCCTCTGTGGCAAAGCTCATTTCTGCCAGAGTTGGACCTTCTTTCTGGAGGTAAAGGGATTGCCATGAAGCTTCAGCTGATTTCACTCAGTCTAAATGAATATACTTGATGCTTAGCCATGATTTTGTGTGGTTTTTTTTTTAAGGGACAAGTTTTTTGTTTTTGTTTTTAATACAAACTGTCGTGTTGAGGGTTGACTTTCAGCAGATCGCAGCAAGGGAGCTGCTCTATAGTCTGACCTAAAGGGACAAGATTTTTTTGTCGTTTAATTAACGTCATAGCCACTAGATGCCAGTAGTACCCTCAAGTGTGACCATCACAAATGTCTCCAGACTTTCCAAATATCCCCTCAGGGGCAGAGTTGCCCCCAGTTGAGAACCACTGATCTTACCAAAGGCGAAAGGAAGTCTTTTTATCAAGACCTCCATGTGCTCTTGAAAACTTCACTAAATTATTAGTAACTACCCTTCTGATAACTTGAGAAATGTGTCAGAATCTCGGAGAAGAAGGATGTACAGCTTGCAAAAATGTATGTATTCAGTATCATATTACCATTGTGTACTTGAAATAAAAAAAAAAACCCTATTTGCAACACAAACTGGGAGTTTAATGAGATTTTTATGCGTATCAAAAGTGGGCAGATGTTTACAAAGATTGTGAAACAGTCTTCAAAACCAATGATAGTTGGTTCTCCTTTTAGCCTCACCTGCACTTCTTTCCCCTTCACGGTGCCCCTAAGTGCACACCAATGTGACGTTCTCTTCTCCCTGAGGATACCTACAGGTGCCCCCATCTCTCAAATCTTTAAAGTTTTTTACTGGAATTTTTTTTTTAGAATTCCCACTGCTTTCCTTTTCTGGTCCTCTACTGAGTTTTAATGGATTTTGACTGGGTATTGTTGGATAATTTATTGTAGCTTGCTTGCTTGCTTGGAATATCTTTGTTCATTTAAACAGGAAAATGCTGTGTCTCTGGAATCACTGGTCACAAAAGCAAGATGTGAAAAATATTGTAATAAGTTATTGCTTTATTCTTTTTTCAGGAATCATTGTAGTCGATCACTTTCCAGTTTTCAACCACTCATTTGTGATAATCAAGGGACACGGTGTTGTGGTTTCAGAACTGCCTGCTCAGAATAGGAACATACTTGGTAAGGGAGGCAGCGTGCATAAAGATTAAAAGCACCAGCCCTGAAGTCAGGCACACTTGTGTTCACATCCTGGCAAGTTATGAAACCTTTCTGAACCTTAGTTTCCACATCTGTGAAACGGGATTAATCACACTTACCTTATGGGATTGCTGTGACGATTTACTGAGATAATGTTTCTGCAGTGCTTAGCACAACACCTGGCATATCAGATGGCATAACAAGAAATGGTAATATAGGAATGCAATTGGACATAAGGCTTTAACTTCTAATGTATTGAATTTTTTCTGCTTCCTGAAATATTCATATACTCCTAGAATTTTAGAGCTAGAGGAAACTTGAAAAATTTTCTGGTTCAATCCTCTTATCTTTTGGATGAGGAAATAGACCGAGTGACTTAGCCAAAATCGTAGCAATGAGTGTAATAAATGCCACAACAGGGTAAGTTCAGATTCTATAAGTACACATTTTACAACATCTTTATTGAGATATAATTTCTATGCCATGAAATTCACCATGAAATTCATTATAAAATGTACAATTCAGTGGTTTTTGTATATTCACAAAGTTGTGCAACCATCACAATTTGTTTTGAACATTTTTGTCACTCCAGGAAGAAACCCTATATTAACAGTCACTCCCCATTCCTCCCCACCCCCTCCCCTAGGCAACCCCTAATTAATCTATTTTCTGTCTTTATAGATTTGCCTATCCTTGACTTTTCATATAAATGCAGTCATGTAATACGTAGTCTTTTGTGACTGTCTTCCTTCACTTAGCATAATGTTTTCAAGGTTCATCCATGTTGTAGCATGTATCAGTACTTTATTCCTTTTTATTGTCCAGTAATATTCCATGGTATGAATATTATTGATGTATGGATATTATTAATATCCATTTTGTGTATCCATTTATGGACATTTGGGTTGCTTCCATTTTTGAGCTATTATGAATAATGCTGCTTAAACGTTCACATACAAGTTTTTGTGTGGATATTTGTTTTAAATTATCGTGGGTACATACACGTGGAATTCCTGAGTCATATGGTAACTCTACATTTGAGTTTTTGAGGAACTGCCAAATTGTTTTCCAAAGCAGCTGCATCATTTTACATTCCCAGCCACAGTGTACAAGAGTTCCACTGCCAGCACTTGTTATTATCTGACTTTTTGATTATAGTCACCCCAGTGGGTGAGAAGTGGTATCTTATTGTGGTTTTGATTTGCACTTCCTTGATAGCTAATGATGTTAAACATCTTTTCATGAGTTTGTTGGCCATTTGTATATCTTCTATGGAGAAATATCTATTCAAATACTTTGCCCATTTTTAATTGGGTATTTGTCTTTTTATAATTGAGTTGTAAGAATTCTTTATGAACTCTGAATACCTGTCCCTTAACAGATATATGATTTGCAAATATTCCCCCCCATTCTGTAGGTTGTCGTTTTACTTTCTTGATGGTATCATCTGAAGCACAAAAATTGTTAATTGTGATGTAGTCCAATTTGTTTTTCTTTTGCTACTTGTGCTTTTGGTGTCATATCTAAGAAGCCATTGCCTAATCCAGTGTTATAAAAATTTCCCCCTTTGTTTTCTTCTAAGAGTTTTATAGTTTAACTCTTAAGTTGAGGTCTTTTACCGGTTTTGAGTTAATTTTTGTCTGTGGTATAAGGAAGCATCCAACTTCATTCTCTTGCATGTGGATATGCAGTTGTCCCAGCACCATTTGTGGAAAATACACATTTTATTTTATTTGGCCACGCCACACAGCTTGTGGGATCTTAGTTCCCCGACCAGGGATTGAACCTGGGCCCTTAGCAGTGAAAGCGCTGAGTCCCAACCACTGGACCGCCACGGAATTCCCAAAACTACACATTTTAAAATAGAGTTTTCACCATCCTTTTACCTGAACCTTGAAATGAAGGCCTTTGTGGTCTTAAAAAAACAGTTTGAGCAACGGCAGAGAGTTTGGAGAAAGGTTGTGTCCCCTTTAATGTGGGGTTCCTCCCTCCCTCCCCCAATCCCCAAAGTCTAGATTACCTGCCTGTTAATCCACCATTAGAAGTCTGATGCTGATTTAGTTGGTCTTGGGTTGGGGCCCTGGTATGAGCATTCATTAAAAGCTCTCTAGGTGATTCTAATGTGCAGGCGCAGTTAAGAACCAGTGAAGTAAAAGGTTAATAGAAAGAGGACCAAAGGGAAGGAGTCATCAGAGGAGGCATTGTTAGAAGAGGAGCTATGCCAGGATGTGTGCTGGTTTGTGGCAGCGCAGACCTCTTCTGCTGCAGCTTCATGACTGTTGTCCTCTGTTCTACAGGGGGCAGCATCTCCTTACTGAGGAAATAGTTGTACCATGTCAGTGCTTTTTGATCTTAGCAACACCTTGGGGATGAAATATGTGAAATAAGAGGATCCTCTGCAATGTAAAAGCAAGAAAATAACAACAACAACAAAACCCAACCAACAGAAGAGAGCACAGATCCCAAGCACTGCTTTTCCTCCTAGAAATGAAGAAAAACATTGTTCTGTAGCACAAGCACTTTTTAAAAAGAACTTTTTTATTTCATTTTACAAATGATACAGAGAATTCTATTTTGCCTTTAATTTTTGTCTTTTATTCTGTGGCCACTGTGAAACATGATACAGAGAGAATTCTTTTTTGCCTTTGATTCTATGACCACTGTGAAACAATCTGGCTTTAAAATAACTGTTAGAATGCAAATTGAATTTTGAAATGAGTTATAGATCTTAGGCCTTTAAGTATGTAAAATATAAACAGAATGCCCTTTATCGTCTGAGATTGTATTTGCAGAAAAGCATGAGAACTGCAACCTGCTAAGTCTGAAGCGCTACCATGCCATGGTTTTGTGTTGTCTGAAATTCTTGGTCTGTCAGGAACAAAGCATATCAATGTGTTCCTCTGTAAATCTTGCCTTCAGTGATAAGTTCCTCCCCTTGTGTTGCTAAAAGGTTCATCTGATGTGAAAGGAGAGAAATAATTGATCAACAACACTTTCCATATTCCATTTCTTTTTATTTTAGTAAATTACCAGCAGCAGATCTCCTGTGATTGGTTTCAGAAATCATTTTGGATGGCACTGGTGTTTCTGAGTCCCATTAGGGATTTATTGTGCCCTGGACAGGTATTCCTCAAAGTGTTTGGAAACCAGTGCTGGCCTGTGAACCATTTATTACTAGCCCACAATTAAAAAACACTTAAAAACTTGTATTGCATCTTGACATTGTCTCAGTGTATTCATTGTGTTTTACAGAAGAATTGTTCCTTCCCCACAGGTGGTCAAAAAGCTGGTCAAAAAGCACTGTTCTATAGGAAGTAACTTTGTGGAGGAAGTACTTTAAAGAAACCATCTTTCTTTTTGCATTCATTTTCTTTCTCTCTCAGGGATTTTGTATTAGAAGACATGGATCTTGCTGCTAATGAGCTCAGCATTTATGACAAACTTTCAGAGACTGTTGATTTGGTAAGACAGACGGGCCATCAGTGTGGCATGTCAGAGAAAGCAATTGAAAAATTTATCAGACAGCTACTGGAAAAGAATGAACCTCAGAGGGGGCCACCCCAGTATCCCCTCCTTCTAGCTGTGTACAAGGTAAAAATGTGTTCTGACTTGGAAATAGCTTAGAGCACAAACTCTTCAACATTCTCCCCAAATATTACTGTTGACTGATTCCACCACTGAACCTTGGTTTTTCTATGAGTAAATTGGCCTTTACTCTTTGTTACGATGTGTTATTAGCAAATTTGATTACTTTGTTAAATGTTCTAGATGAAAGATGTGTATTTATCATTAACTGTATCTGTGTATATTTTTAAATGATGGACATAGCCCCTGGTCTGTATGATAAAAGCTTGGTGAACCTTGCAGTCCTCACAGTTCTCAAGCTTTAAATGCTTTCAGAAGTGAATGTCAATGGCTTGTTTATGAAAATGGATTAGTTCTTAAAGCACACTGGAAATAGTAGAACATGCCTGTTTTTTTTCCTTGGCCTAAAAGTATTTTGTTTACTGTAACAATTATTAATCCATTTCCTGTCTTTCCTTGTAGGTCGTCGTAACCCTGGGATTAATCTTGCTCACTGCCTACTTTGTGATTCAACCTTTCAGCCCATTACCACCTGAACCAGTGCTTTCTGGAGCTCATACCTGGCGCTCACTCATCCATCACATCCGGCTGATGTCTTTGCCCATTACCAAGAAGTATATGCCAGAAAATAAGGGAGTTCCTCTGCATGGGGGTGATGCAGACAGACCCTTTGCAGGTAGAATACTGCATTTGTTATTTATTAGATACGGCTTTCTTGGCAGTATATCATGAGAAAGGAAATAACATTTACTGACATCTAATGAGAGACACTTTCCCTATGTTGTCTCATTTAATTCAATCCTCAGGGAAACTCTATGGGATGGGTTTTATTACCCCATTTTGCAGATTGAGAAACTGAGGCTCAGAGGATTAAGAAGCTTGTCAGAGAAACACACCGGGTGGAGCCAAATTCAAGCCCCCTGATTATAAAACACACATGATGGGGATGAGTGTTTTCGCTCATAGGAGGGATTTGAGTGTATCTTACTCTACTGTTTTCTCTCCTGTGATCCCTATCCATAATAGATTTTAATAAATAGCTATTGGTTTATTGAAAGCATCTGAGTCCATATCCTCTAATAATCCTTAGCCTGTTGGCTAGGTTTTTGTCTAGGTATATCCCTCTCTTTCAATGGAGTCTTTTCTCTCTGTTTCACAGTTCACTATGTAGTGCTCCTGCGTATACAATTTTGCCAATAAGTTGAATTAAAGAAGCACTTAAATTTAGTAACAATGTATCAATGGTAGCATAGGAATTCCTGGTCCGATAGACCATTTGAGGAGTTCCCTTTTGAGAATAGTGTAATGTGGTAAGATTCGAAATTTACTTTTGAGAAAGAATAAGGGGGTGTTATTTGGGGATTTTATTTTATTCATTTATTATTGTTTTATCTTAGTGTTTATCTTATTTGCCTGTATGAAGGAATATGTAAGTTAATATCACAAATGGATTATAGAACTTTTTGTTTAACTGTGTTCTGAAACCTTTAGGCTTCAGCATAACTGTTGAGGAAGTATGTTTTCTCTTCAGTGTTTTCAAAAAATATTTAGCAGTTGAAACTAAGCTTTATAATCATAATGCTACTCTTTAAGCCAAGATCTAATCAGTCATAAAAATCATCACTTGGTTTGGGTCTCCTTTGAAAGCTATTTTTGTGCACTTGAGGAAATCATGGAAAGATTTCGAGAATTATATCAAAATCAGAGGAAAGGAACATTGTAAAACAAAAACCCAGCCTCGTAAGTTTTTTTTAAAAAATCAACTTATGTATTTAAATGTTTAAATTCCAAATATATAACTTTCTTGTATTTACTGGGGAGGTTGTTTTTGAAACAACAAAGCTCAAAAAAATGAAGTTTCCAGCTCCTATCAGGAAGGTCCAGAGCATGTAGGGGAAAGAGCCAGGGAAACGTGTCAGTTAGGCCAGCCTGTGCTGCTGCCTCGGATGCATCTGCCTCCTTTCCTGTCTTCCCCTCACAGCCTCCCTAACGTCATTTTCTACTCTTTGGCACATGAGATGAAGTCAACAATTTTTAGGACCAAGTTGATGGCACCTACTTTCTTTCTCCCCATCTTATAAAGCACATCTCCACAGACTGTTGAGTTAAGCAATAATAGTCAACGGACAGTGATTGCTCATTCTGTGTATCAGAGTTTAAAAAGTCAAGAAACATAGGTGTCTTGTCAACAAGCCAGGTTGTTTGGCCACTCCAAATGAATATTTTGCCTTGCAGATAGAAATAAAAATGAGTCCTTAGAGCTCACTTGTAAAGAGAGAGCATTGGAAGGGTGTGGTTTTAGGTCTTTAATGTTGTTGATTCTATTAAAGTGCTGCTTTTACTTGTAAATGGAGATACTGCACCCTATTTTCCTATGTGTGATAATTCTGGGAAGCTGTAGACATGTAAAACTAACAGCATTTTGCTTAGCACTTGGAAGGAAACTTAAGAATGCATAATTAAGTGGTGAATAGAAACATATTGGGGAGAACTAGGTATAAGAAGGGCAAACTGCTGGGCCTGAAAGAGGGCCAGAAAAGTAAAAAATATATAACTCATTCCTATTGTCATGGTACCCCAAAGCAGCTGCCTTTCAGTTAGGACTACTTAGCAATACCTTTAAAGTAAATGTCGAGGGAGAATGTAAAGTGAATGTAGCTCCCATGGGAAAGCCCTTCAGCGTATTGTTTCCTTAAGGGCTGGCCTAATGCTCCCGGGGATCATCTGACACTCCTTGAAGGGAGCAGCAGTGACCTACCAGCTTCACCACCTCCAGTGCTGCTAGGTTTCTTCCCGACCACTGGTGGGTTTTCCGCTTGACTCTACCCAGGGAACAAAAGGCAACAGAAGTTGTTCTTTTTCTAAGTTTCAGCCTTGGGTAGGATACCCTGCCCCTAACTCCTCTTCATGGAGTGAATGAAGTGACTCTGCAGTGAGTCATGTAAACATCCCACTCTGCAGCAGAAAATAAGCTGACTTATTTAGTACTTACCAGATGCCAGGCCCTGTTCAAAGGGCTTTCCATATATTGGCTCATTTGATCTTTACAATATCCCTATGCAGTAGGTTCTGGTTTTATGTCTGTTTTACAGATGAAGACACTGAAGTAGAGTGCAATTAGCTCACTTGCCTGATCTAATAAGGCTAGTTAGTCATGGAACCATGATTTGAACCTAGGCCGCCCATCTTCAGGGTCTGAGCTCTTAACCTCTGATATGAGTAGTTTGTAGCTACATGGTATACCTGAAGAGTCTAGCTGTAAGTTTGATTTTGGAATTCAACACTCTTTCAGGTCACCAGATGCCTTCTCTCTCAGCTCCCTAGTCCCCGAAGAAATAAGGTTCTTTCTGGCTGGTACTGCACGTCCAAAAATAAATGGTCCTCCAAGCCATTGGCCCTTTAGAATTTTCCTGAACTAGTCTTTTCCTAGGCATTCAGCCCAGCTCATCCTCCCAGTCTGCACTCTTATAGGTAAGGTTTGACTTACTGTTTGACTAAGTCCTTTCTCTTATTAACCTGCAGTTTTCTCTTCACATTCACATTCTTAGTTCTTACCCACCCCCGCCCCTGGCCTCATATCTTTATATCTGCTTTGACCCTGCCAGCCACCCTTTTGGCTTTCACCCTTCTGCGGAATCCTTGAGTCTTAGAGCTCAAAAGGAACTTTATAGAGTTGACCTGGTACATACCCCTGTTTTTTAAAGAGGAAATTGAAACCAGGAGAGGTGAAATAGCTTGCTTACCCAGCTAGATGTGACAGACTAGCACTTGAACCTTAGTTTCTTTAGTCTAGCACATTACAATTACTGCCTGCTGCCTCTGCCCTCATTCAAGCCAGGTTCCAGAATGTTAGGCCCAACCATTTTGTTTACTTGGGGCATTTATAATTTGTAATTGTAACATCCATATATACTGAGGAGGCCTGGGACAGTTCTCACATACAATGAGAAGCTGCATCTCTGTATCTGTACTGCATAATTGGAACTTTATGTACCCATGAACTTTCAAGGGAAGGTTGAAGTAGATCTACCAATATCAAGGAGTTTGGGGAATAGCAGATCATTCACTGACTTAGAACTAAGGTAAGAACCTAATCAGAATTGGAGTCCAGGCCAATGCTCAGCGTGAAATGCTAGGACCTGTTTATTTACAAATAAAAGAGTAAAGTGATAACAGCTCTGTCGGGCACTTACAGTATACTTGGCACTATGCTGTATACTGTGCCATGTATTCTTCAGTCTTCACATTAGTCACGAAAGGTAGTTATTTTTATGTCCATTTCAAAGATGAGGAAGCTGATGAGCAAGGGGGTTGACTAACTTGCCAAAAGTCTCACATTTAGAGACAAATTTTTATACAAGGAGAACTTATAAAAATAGATGGACTCTCTGGTTTGGAATGGTTCAAACGTGTTGCTTCCTGAAGGCAAAGCTGTTGGCGAGATGATTTCTTGGGTTCCTTCCATCCCTACGGTGTATGAAAGTGGCTCTGGGCCTATTACCACCCATGCAGGGGGCCTGGCCAAGGTCAAGACTTCACCCCTGCCTCATGCCCAGGATGCTAGAAGTGCTAAGCAAAACAAGCTGCTGGAGAGTAGCCTGATTAAATACTGAGCACGTACCAGTGAAAGTCACAGAGACTTTGTCGTGGACTTTTGCAGGGTTTTCTTGGATACGTTTCTAATATGAGAAATCTAAGAAATCATGAGGTTATATTTATTTAATCCTTATTTTGAGGTTTCTCCAAGTTCAGATTACTTGTTTGATTTTTCTCCCCATGGACTTAATCCTATTGTTAAAGCTTCTGAAAAGTCAAGGTTTCATTCATTCATTCATTCATTCAGTGAGTGTGTATTCAGACCCTACTGTACACCAGCAACTGTTCTCAACAGAGCAGTGAACAAAACAGTCCCCCTCCTTTTGCGGAGCTAGTCTTGGCTTTGTGCCTTTCTTCTTCTCTATCCTTTTTACCCAGAGGGAGGTTTTTTTGGTCCTGGAAAGAAATCTGTTTTTTATTTTTTATTTTTTTGCTTTTTGCTTTTCACCAGATTAATAGTCTGTGTAAAAGGACTCTCTCCGCTTAGAATTCCAGAGTATGTTATGGTTGTCCACAGCAAGCCAGCCTGAGTGCGTTTTCTTTGTAAACAACTCTCAGGCACCAGGAAGCCTCCTGACAGTCTTGGCTCGCCATTGTTCTGCAGAGTGCCCAACTCGCAGAGAAGGCTGGGCGGTTACAGTTTCTGCCTTTCTTAACTTCAAGGCTGTGTTTTGTCTGCAAGACCATTTTTGACACCTCAGACAGCAAAATGATTCCATAATCACGGTGAGAATTTGGAATACAGACCATGGTGTTCTATTGAACTCTTAGACGTGGAGTTTCACTTCTTTGTCACACCTTTTTTTTTAGTATGAAATAGCTAGTATAAGAAGGATATCTTGCATAAAGAAGCCTTGGAAATCAAAAGAAAGTTAGGAAGTCGCTATCCAGCTTCCACTCGCCTTTCTGTCTGGTGCTGGAGGAGTGGATAGAAGCAGAGGAGGGCTGCAGAGAAGTGAGATGCAGCATGTTAGGTAATTGAAGAAAAGTTGTGGCCTGGGTTGGCATGGGATGGTTTGCTGTGTGCTACTGGCTGTTTTCTAGCATGGGACTTTGATCACTCTGTGGTATGTTGGCTCC